CTATCTATCTATCTATCTATCTATCTATCTATCTATCTATCTATCTACCTACCTACCTACCTACGTACCTACCTCCACATAAAAAGGCACCAGGTCTTATTTTGGGGGGAAGTCCTCCATTGACTAACCTCACTTGCGCACGTCGCCCCGGCCTCTTTTTCACTGTCAGAGGCCTTCAGGAACTTCCTCTGCAGCCAATAACAGAGCTTTGGATCGATCCAGAGCTTTGTTCTCAGCTACAGAAGCCTTGGGCCGGCAAGGCAGGTGTCCGGATGTGTGAGGCCTAGCTAAAACTGTTCAAAAGTAAGTAGTAGGGCATCCTCCCCATCCCCACTCTAGCCTGCGCAGAGCTACCAGGAGAAGGGAACAGTTAAGGAATAGGGGTTGACTCGGGAGTAAGAGCATAGGTGGACAGTGAATGGCCCCTCCCACAGGGAATAAAGAGGAGCAAGAGGGGAGTGGGGTTTGCAGGAGACCATTAGTTCATTTGGACAGGGTGAAGATTTGTTCCTGACTCCTTGCCAAGTATTGTCTGCTACAGCAGGGCGTTTGGAAGCTATCGGCCTGGCAACTCTCCAAGCCTGATCAAGGTCTGTCCTTGTAAATCACTCTTAAAAGACTCTTTCCCGGGACTTGGCTGGATGTGAATGAGAGGAATTCACTTTAGCCTAAATAAAAGGTTTTTTTTGTCGGGACGAGGAGTCTGCTTCGTGATTTTGGGAAGCCTGGGTCAGAACAGGAGGAAGAAGGGAGACACTTTGGCTTCTCCCTGGCCTTTTCTCTGTGGAGGGCAAAACTCTGGCACAAAATTTGTGAGCTGATTCAGTGTGTGAGAACCTCAGCCTTTCTCAGTCTCCCCAACCCATTTCCCTGATTCAGTTTGGGACTCCCAAAATCTTTCCTGCAACCCACAGGTTAAGAAGGACCCGGAGCAAAAGGAAAGAAGACCCCAGGAATATCAACAAGCCCATGCTTCCCAACCCACCTCCCTTCTTGGTAGTTCCTTGGACTTGAGGCTGAAAGGATTCCAACCCCCAAGAAATTCAAATCCCAGCTGTCTTAGTTCTGCCGGCCTCATGGCTGCAGAGCCTGGCAGGAATGGTGTGCGACTTGGCCCAGAAAAGGAAATACTCACTTTTAATAATCCGAGTGCGACGTTAAAAATAATACTGATGCCCTGTAAAAGAAAAGAGAAGGAGGAAAAAAACCTAAATATCCACAGGTTTAACAGAATAACAGCACTGAAAGGGACCTTGTAGGTCATCTAGTCCAACCCCCCGCCCAAGCAAGAGACCCTACACCATTTCTGACAGATGGCAATCCAGCCTCTTCATGAAAGCCTCCAGTGATGAAGCTCCCACAACTTCCGAAGGCAACGTCTGTTCCATTGGTTGGTTGCTCTCACTGTCAGAAAATTCCTCCTTATTTCTAGGTTGAATCTCTCCTTGGTCAGTTTTTTAAAATTTGTATTTATTTATATTTTATTTATACACACACACACACACAGTCTCTCTATAGATGACAGATAAATATAGTTAGATAAATAAATTACTTTAAATAGATAGATTAATCTATCATCTATCTACTGCATCTATTGTATCTATCAATCTATTTATATCTATATATCAATATCTATCTTATTTCTATCTCTTTCTTCTATCTATCTATCTATCTATCTATCTATCTATCTATCTATCTATCT